ACAATAAGCTTCAAATCTAATCGGTAGTAGTTTACAATAGCGATAATAATATCAATATAATAGCTATAATATTATAAAATAATAGTAATTATGAATACAAAATTGTAGTTACAATATTGTCTACATAAAAAAATGGCAATTTATACTCCGCACTCATTGTACACACTTTGCCTTTCTAGTACTTTTTTTTAATTCGCATACGCACTTCCCGCACTTGCGATACGCGCGCATACATTCGCGTCGACGATGAGGGCGAGACTTCACGAACGCATGTCGCATAATTAAAGACTAGCAATTATAATTCCTCTACAAGGGATTCTACATTGATTAATTAGGTAAAACCGGGGTAGATCACCGACACTACGCGGCTAAGAGTTGAGGATTTACAGACGCATTACCAGTAAGCTCACTCACACACACACACTTTCATTCGCTCCCTCGTTCACTAAAATATAGATTACGGTATATTCTGTATATTCGCCAATGATCGATTCTTTTTAGAGTGTTCCATCGAGAAACATTATGCGTAGTCAGGTCGAAGCAAATTCGTAAAATCGCGACGAAAATTGTATACGGAGAATCTCAAATACATTTCACAAATGTAGGAAACAGCAGCGGGAAGATAGTCTTTTCTTCAGGTGGTAAAAAGTAAAGCTTTGAATATCATGATTGCGGAGATAAAGGTGTTTGTGTGATTCTGGCAGTGAAGAGCAGTGAGTTTTGTCGGGCAATGTCAACAGGCAGTTTCGGAGTGCGTTTTTAAGAAAAGGATGTGATGTATCTTCACGTCTGCCGGCAGTTTCTAGTTTCAGAACAGTCTTTTGCTTTGCAAGTCGTCGCGGTTTCACGTCGCCTAAATACATAGTGAGGATCAGCAAATAATTCGCGGTCCGAAGGAATTAACTATTTAACTATTAATCGCTAATCATGTTGATTAATCGAAACTAACGGAAATTCGTTTGCACTGTCGAGCGCAGACGAAGGCCAAGTAAGTAGGAAGTGATCGCGAATCATTTGCCGCCGGTTGAATCAGCATCGGCGGAAAGACTGAAGATCGAGGCTCAATCTTGAGCCTCTAATTATTTTGGCAACTATTGTACTTGTCTATATTTACAAATGTATCATACGTACTACGTCGTGGAACAAACGCCGAGGGACAAACGCATGAATATATTCGCGCGTGCATGCCTCTTGCATTGTTAAGCAATTTCGTCTGCGCAAAATTTAAATTGCACACGGAGATTGAGGAACTTTATACGAGTATTTTGAAATTTTACCATACATTTTACTAATAAAATGTATACTAAGTATAATTGCTAGTAAAATGTATAGTAAATTTTCAAAAAGCTTCCCTGGAATTCTTCGAAATGCGGTGCTGTCCCACAATTACATGATTGTCCGGATAAATTTTAAGAGAAAATGTTCTTTGTGCAAACAGAAATTGAACGAGTTAATAGTTATACGAATAAAAAGTAGCTCTAGAACTGCAAAAGAAGACGCAAACTGTATAAAATATAGAAATTAATCTAAAGAAACTGAAAATATATTCTTGCGAGAGTCAATTTATTTTTATCAAAATTAATTTGTGCCATACCAAAACATTTCAAAACTATGCAGATTTTAAGAGAACCATCGGTAATGAGTTAATTGATAAAAATTTGTGAATTATTTTCTTAAATATTGACCGAAAAACTGTCGAAGAAATTATGACGTCAGACAAGAGCATGCGAGTCACCCGTTTCCTTTAGGAGGTTTTTAGTTACCGTGAGAAAAGTAATTCGCAAATTGAAATTCTTTAATTACGAATTATTGATTACAACGTGTGAAAAGATATAGAAATGAAATTTTTGGCAATTATCTACCCACGCGTTTGAACCTCGGTTCTCCGTGTTACCGCCAAAGGGAGTTACGAGCAGACCACAATCACTTTCCGATAACGAATCGCCATCAGAGTTGAAAGAATTTGATCGACAGAGGAAAAGGAAACCGTATTAATATTTTGTACACGCGGCTGATCGCCGCATTGATTCCGGCGTAGATTGTACACGATTCTACGATCTACTACGTGATTTGAAAAATATTTGTTCGATCGACCGAACGACGATGAATTACGATTTTTATACGATATAGGTATACGTATATAGATATATAACGGTAATCGCTTAAAATTATACGAATTATTAATTAGCATTATCTCGTAACATTTTTCTCAAGAGCATGATTTTGATCATCGGAAAGCTCCTATACGGGCATTACAGAGTGTCTAAATTCGCAAATACACTCGAGGGTATCTACGGTGTTTAACATACGTCCATTGTGTATATCCGAATCTGAATTGCATTTCGGATTACAGCGTACATGATCCCCGTATATCGCCCGTGCCGTGCTGCACCGTGTTCGTTTAAAATATAGATTATTAATTTTCCCGCGGATACAAAAATACGATTCTCGATCGGCAGCACCGCACGAGGGTAATGCAACGCGGTCGTTCATATACGACCCACTGCAATCGCATATTCGACGAATAATTATTCTGTACAGTATGTATCCAATTTATATACCCGTGGCATCAATCGAGAACAACCAATATCGTTTCGCAACGGCGGCTAAGGCACGGTTGCACCGAACGTCGCTCAACTTTAATCTTACAATTTAAATCACGTTTGTCTCTTTCTAAAGTAACATTTGGAAAGAGATAGAAAATGAATGAAGCTAAGTTTAAAGTTAAGTGATGTTGCTGAAACCAGGCCTAAGAGAAATGTAAAATGAGCGCTGAATGTTAACTTTAAGGAGCTTTCCAAGCTGCAACTTTGACCGTTTTGGTTGTGCACACACGTTTCGCTAGCTGCAAGTGATCGCAAAATGATATTGGTTGTTCCTCCGAATCGCTTGTTTTAATCGACTACACTCGTCGTGCTTTGTTAATCATAGTAAAGCCGTTTCACTGCTTGCTCGTACCGGCTGATGAATAAGATTATATTATATGTCTTCGCGCTTTGAAGAATAAATTGGCTGATTTCGTGGTAAATGCACAAAAAGACGCGTTTGATCGTCTCGAGGAAGTATTCGTCGCCCGATCTTATATGCAAGATTATCTTAGATACGATTCCGAGACTCTGTACGGTCATTTCATTCATTGGATCAAGTTTTACAATTATCCGTGGCCAGGACTTGAAATGATCTTGAATATAAGACTGTGAATATCACCCTTGAAGATCAATTTCGAACAAAACGTTACAGTTTCGTAATAATCGAGATTATAGCAAATAGAGATTAGTATATATGTAGATCAATAAATATCTTTTATAAAATAACATTATGCATTATATTACATGTTGATTTTCATCATTCTCACGTTAGTTCGCACAACCAACATTCCGGTTTTCAGGGGGATCAATGGAGAAATACATTCATAACTGTCCCAAAAACATAAAATTCTCCAAAAATATATTTCCCGTTTATCACGCTAAACCGCACGCTCACGCGAAATAACTCTTAAATACAAATCACTCGCGCAGATAAAATGTTAAATTTAGAAAAACTGGACGTGTAAATGTACGAAACTTAGATGTACGTGCAGATGGAAAGAACAAGAGAATAACTCTCAGAAGGTGAAACGAACAGACTGTATAACCGGTGTAACTGTCAAATCTGTGTCTAAGGATTAATAAACATCGACGAGAGAGAAAGCCGACTGTATGAAAGAGGGAATATAATTCACACGTATAGTTTATTTCCGACATTTAAGTTGACGATTGCATCAAATAATCGTCTAAAATTCAATATTACCCAAACACTAGGGAATTATCCAATATTTTTGTGGCTCTTTTCATTCGGAAAAGTTACCTAATGCGTAAACAATTTTAAACGATTATTTACTGATGCTCAAAAAAGACTCTGCTTTCCTCACAAAAAGAAGTGTACTCCGAATTGAAGAATTTTCAAATTATTCCATTGCTCGATCGATCATTGCGCGTAAAAACGAGTGTCTGTTCTTCTTTTATATATACATATACTAGCTGCAGGCAACAAAAAATGGATACACATTGACGGTTTTTTGTCGTTGCTTAACAAAAATGCGCCAAGTTCTAAAACGTACTCTGATAATCAGATATTGATGAGCGTGTTTCATATGTGTAAAGTGTATCATATTAAAATACAACTTTTCTCAATAATCATTTGCTTCATTTGCTTTTCTTTCCTTTTTTTGTATATGTGGTTCGCATCCTCCTCGCGTGCCGCTCTGGCACACCAACGCGATAATCATAATAATAACGATGATACTGCTAGAAATAGCTAAGAATTATAATAATTAACATTACTTTTGTTTCATTCTACTTTCGTCAAATTATCTAAAAATATTATATGTATCTTCGCTTTCGATCTCGTCGACCTCTCTCTTATTCTCCTTTTCATCTCTGTTTTATTTTTCCCTCTCTACGCATCACTGGAGACTTTCGCCAATCTCGTGATATTATTACAATATTTATTACAAGTATCTACTATATATATAATTTCTATACATATATTTACCATAGTAGTACACTTTATGCGCAAGTGTAACACACGGACGGTAGTGCCTAAGAGGTCAACCGAGATCCAAGAACAATTTCAAGTCATATTGACAACCGTGTCTGTGTGTGTCTGTGCACGTGTATGTTTTGTCGATTGTTATAGGCGGAACAAATAAATGCGGTTTATGTATTATACATCTCAATTTGCGTTATTAAACTATACCCAACAATAATTACTGAAATCTAAAATTGGATAATTTTATATAACTAAAACAGTTTGTATAATATTATATCTCTACACGGAGAACATTCTCTCCTCAAATTTATCCTAACAATGGTGTAATCGTGGGACAACACAGCTTTCCAAAGAGATTTTAAAATTTTACTATACATTTTACTAGTAATTACACTGTTAGTATATTATATTTTTTTACTAGTAAAATGTATGGCAAAATTTCAGAAAACTCTCTCCTAAAGTTCTTCAAAATGCCACGTTGTTCCACAATTACACGATTTTCAGGATAAATTTCGAGAGAAAATTCTCTCCGTGTAAGTTTACTAAACTTTCAACTTTCGTTCTTAGTAAAGTTGTACTTTTCGAAATTTATTTGACATAATATTTATGTAAAATAAACTATACACACAATTCTTTACCTCAGTAATACGAGTATCAGGAAAATTGCCGAGTAATACGGAGATCATTTTTAAATGCATTTCCGTGATTAATTCACAGATACAAAAAAATGTCGAACAATGTACGAAGTTTACTGAGTTAAATTAAAAGCTTCTTTCCTCTCGCGAAATTTTATTTAGATAATATATCGCTCGGGACTCTAATAATAGCGCAAATCGAGAACTGTGTAAAAGGAACGAGGATGTTCCGGGCCGCTCAAAACGAACGTCTTCGTGTTTCAAGGACGCGACATTCTTACATACATAAAAATATATCGCTAATTTATAGAGCATACTCGAATTTCGCCCGTACGTCGCGAATTATTGTCAAAACAGTCACCGGCATCGAGGTAAATAATTAATCTTTCGATGCAGTGAGTTAGTCTTTCACGTTCTTGCAAAGTCTCGAACCGAGTTATTGACAATGAGCTCTGTTTTAACAATAACGAGATGTACAATGTATTAGGAGGTAGTCGTTTGCTGCGTTAATCCTTAGCATATTATACCACGTAACTTACAATATTATCTCGCTATTTCTACATTTCTGATTTTAACGACGCACACTATGCTTACTTTACACTTGATAGTTTTTAATCCACTATTTATCTTTAAATAAGCAGCATTTGTATAATATTTGAGAAGCATCGAGAAGATCTAGAGATCTAGAGCGCGTTTACGATTCTAAAAATTATACGCAAATATGTCAATTTTAAACACAATTGTTTCGAGATATTTCCACAATCACTGTTACACTGCCGATCTTCAGCTGTCAATCAACAATTGTTAATTAGCCATCGTTCGAGCTTGGACAAGAAATCAAGTGGCGCACATTGTTTTCCCCGATAGCGATATTTGAAGCAATAAAAAAACATTCTAATTCGATTAGAGATTTTCTGTAGGCTTTTTTCAAAAATTTACGAGTTGCAGTTTAGATCTGTATCGCTTGCTCGGCGCTTCGTTCCCGTAACGCCTCGCGGTTTAATAATGTTTACCTCCGCGAGGCGCCCGCGCGAAAACCTGACGCATCAGTCATCGCAATGACTTTTTTCGAAACATCAATAGAGAGAATACACGCAAGGATTAAAGCAGAGGTGCACACGAGTGCACGCGAGCACACCCGAAGCGCATACGTTCGTTTGTGAGCGGCCGAGAACCGACTGACCAGAATCGAGATGATTTAAGCTGTACATTATGTACTTGTACGTACGCCAAGTATACACTTTTTACACGTATATAATTACATGTCCTTTATCTGCTCTTTATGCATTCCAATCGTGAAGAAGGATCCTCCCTGTCGCAACGATTCATCGATGGAATGATCGACGAGTTTTCCTCCGTCTGTTTTACAATACATTCTACGTGTTTTCGGAGACGATCACGCACGAGACACGTAACACACCATACGTTAGCCTTTAAAAGAAAATACAGGGCCTATCAACTGTGCTTATTTGCTCGAGCTTTAGACTTTAATGCCTGGCGAAAACTCAGCAACTCCCTACTGGATTTCTAATGTTGATCTCACCGTAGATATATTAATGATAAATTGCGTTGCAGTTCCTCCAATGCTAAAAATTTCGCTGACCTAAACAATTTAGCACAAAATGTCCCAGCTTTTGATAAATATTTCTATTGCGTTCGCACAATCGCGTTTTTCTGTATTATATTTTTACTTTTTGGATACCCAAGTTCTCCGAGGTTTTTAAAACATTTATATTTCGCGTTATTTATTAAAACAAGAAATCTTTTAAAAAGTTCAAAGTAATATTGTATATGGAATATATTTGATACCGTGTGAATTTTAATATAAAATTCAACTGATTTCATTATTAATTTGTAATTAATAAATAATAATGGAAAGTTCAATACGTGCTTGCGATATACAAATCTAAATCTATTTCAATGCTCATAATTTTTTGTTGTTATAATAGCAATAAAATCTGCTAAAAATATAATACACCAATACAATAAAGTCTTTTCCACAGCCGTTAATTAACCAAATATGTTTTGAAAGAGCAGCAAGTTCTTCTTCTAAATTAATAGTTGCCTTGTCCGTTCAGACATCGGAGTTCAACAATCAGCGCTTCAGCTTGACATCACATTTGGTACTTCTCACTATTTAAAACTGTATATGTTACCGTACATTTAATAAATTGTACTCTTCATAAATTTCACAATTCTGACAAATCATACGTCACCTTTCAATTAAAACACTTTCTTATTGTTGCAACTTTGAAATATGAGGTAATACCGCAAACTAGTAATGTCCCTTGGCTTTGATTGCAACCTCCTTCCTTAAGTAATAAAATTTTCACGAAATCTTAACTAAATGAAAGAAACAAACCCTACGTCTACAACCTACGTAAGTGCCCCGCATTTTCTTTCGCGTCACGGCAAACGAACGTTACCGTTAGAGAGTTAGATAACGTGTGCACGCGTCAACGTCGTCATATACTAATCAACGCCGGTGCAAAGCACGAGGTGATCCCTCACTGTCTGTCCATGCGAACCGCATTCACCACCCGCGAGGCCGCTCGTGTGCTTTGATTCGATTCGATTCCCCAGATCTGTCGGTGCGGCGCGGCGGGCCGCGTGCTCGCCGCAAGCGCCGTCATTTCGTAGGCACGGAAGTATTACTTTTATTGCGTGTACTTACTGATAAGCCTCCCTGAGAGAGAAACCCTACTAACTTTTCCAAGGCGCACTCAAGAGACTTATATTATACGTTGTGATGCTCAGACGAATCGTATGCCGCCCCTTTCTTCCGTGTCTTCGTTCTTCCCTATATGTAGTACGTTAATTACTTTTAATTACTTTTAATTACGCTCTAGAATACTCTAGATTTAAGTTCTCTTCCCGCTCGTCGCATAACTGAGCCTTGGTCCTCCGAGTCACCGAATGAAAATCGCCCGAGGCGCCCTTCGACTTCAGTCTTGCTATGATTTACGCCAAGTCCGCTTCTTTATGCTCGGATGCGTTGAGGGACAAGAGGGACTAGACTTCCCGCCCATCAGTACGGAACTCTCTCAAGGAAAGTTCCGTTCTGATGCGCGTAATCGTCGGCAAGCCGATCGCTCGCCGACTCTGGGAAGCACGACGAGCTGTACTGGCACCACTCGTGAAGGACGATGCCCCTGTGTATCCTACGACACTGCGTTGCATCCTTAGACGACGACGGCGACGACGATGATAATGTCGCCGTCGCGGCCCTTCACCGCAAAAGAGTAATACGAAACCTTCACAAATAGTCGTTCTCGACCGCTTGAGCGTCCTGCGATTTTAACGTCGCCATTTCCTCCGCAGTACCTGTCTCGCCCTCCTGTTCCTCCACGAAGCTTATGCTCCCGGCCTTGTACCAGACGACTATATCCACCACGAAGGCCAACAAGAGGATACCGCCCGTCGTACCTGCAGGAGAAATATTTTATCAATATATTACATAATCTGTCTTTACCCGAGCAGAATAAAAATTACTTTTTCAAATTCAAGATAACGTCAAACTGTAATCATTTCTACGCTGACAAAAAATTTTTTTCAACTAAGTAAATAGATTTACTTACAATTATTCTTTTACTGAAGTAAATATTTATTCTATTTAATAAATAAAAATATCAAATTTCAAGTAAATCTGTGTATTATATTGAGTAAATTAATTTCAATCATTACATTTTCTACATTCAACTAAAGGTTTCATGAGATAGAGGATACTATTTATTAAATGAAATCATTGTTTTTGTCAAATAAGAAATCCAATTTTCTTCGCTGTAAAACTCATATCTTAGTAAACATTTTATAGAAATAAAGTAAAATTTTTTAATTTAAAATTACCTACTGCTTGATATTTAATAACTATTTAAATTAAAGATATGCATGTTTTTGTTTATTATTTTTTAAATCTAAGTTAATAAGCTATTATCTGCCACCTAATGAATAATTGTCTTGAGTAAAGTAATATTTTTTATCTGTGTAGGAAGCAAAATGATATTGTTTAATGAGACAAACTTTGACTTCTTTACGACTTTAACATTTTGACTTTTTCATAACTTTCGCCGACTACACAAATCGCTCGTGTACGCGAAATGATGATAATCTCGCAAAGATATTATCATATCTTATGAATTTGTAAAAATGTTTGAAATTGTCGAAGCGCTGATATCCTGATTTTTCATTCGAAAGACACAAAATAAAACACAAGAATACAAATCACATTTTTGTCACAACAGTATCATTTTTTTGTGAAAAAGGACATTTTGTATATTACCATATTTAAGTAAACATACAATTACGAGTATCGGAAATGATCAAAGTTTAAATTCGCGAACCATGTCCAACAACGTTTCTAAATTTCAAAGTCATAATTCGAGCAATTTGCTGTCATGATCAAAATATGATTTTTGATATCATCGTTTTTTGACTTCATCGTGACTTGTTTTGCTTGGGTATGTGCGATCGACACTACAAGTTTTACCATTTGCTTAATGAATACGTTTTCCCTCTTTTCTTCAATCCTTCTACCGAATTTATCTATTTATTTATTTTAATCTTATTACACCGAAAAAAATCTATTACTAAAACCACGTGTTAATCAAAATTCAATGCGACGAGATTCCTTCGCGAACAACTTAATTATTGGAATCACTTAATCCATGTTTCCGTTCTTTCTAATAATAAGAGACACATCTCCAAGTTGTACGTACCGTGATAGAACATTCTAAAGACGTTCGAATCGTAAAGCCAACAGGCGCCTCGCTCACCGCAAGCGTATTCCCATACGAGACAAGCGGAATCCACTACAGCACCATAAACGATAGGACACGGAACATTGCCTGAAGCGAAGAGACAAAGGTACTGTATTAACGTTCAGAAGGACATTTTTAGAACAATGAGAAATTTAAGATCTTTTATTTCTTTCGATATGGTAATTTATACAATATTTCGTTAACTCGTTTCTGTTTTCAATTCGCATCAGAGTTACATGAATACTTAATTGTATTACATAAACGATTTAATTGCAACATCAGGTTGTAATTACGATCACATTTTTCAACCGAGAAATTATTTAAAATACCAGTCATTTAATTGCTTCCTCCTCTTACGAACAAACTCCCGTGCGAAGGTTTTCACCGCTGTTTCTATTTTTATCTCTATTGGAAGAGACATTCGGCAGGTAATTACCGAACAAGCCGATGGCGAACTGTATCAGGCCGAGTGCCATGGCCTTGTCCCTGGGATCCACGCATCGCAGAATGAGCAGCATAGAGCCCACCTCGCTCGTGGAGTGGATGAAAACGAAGACTGAGAACAGGATCATGTAAACCCAAAAGTTACTGCACTCCAGTTGACAGTAACCGATCGACGCCGTGCTCACTACTTCCGGTATCGTTACGTTCTGTACGATGCACTGGCAATTGTAGAACTGCGAAATATCAAATGTGACGCATTTAGATGGTGTAGCTCGAATCATAACGAGGATTATAATTCCTTGCGCCTCGCGTATCGAAAGCATAACCGACGAAAAGGTATTTCGCGAAGAGAACGAATCCTGGTGGTAATATTTAAAACTTTGCTGTATCTAACCCGTTTCATTTATCATTTCATCAATATTTCTGCAAAAATTAAATGAAAATAATTTCAAAAATTTGTTTATTAAAAAGTAACACAGTTTTCTGTAATAAATTGAGTAAATTTCATAACATCTAAAATATTTCAAATATATTTTAACTTTTCTTCTGCTCGCAGCATTACATTGAATTTCCTAAGAAAAATGGTTTTGGGATACATTCGATAATATTTCACCATTCATCTCTCTCTTCACGACGATTTAACACTTTCCGCAACGATATTTCCATCGGGGACGTTACTCATAATGGGTATTTATGCTTGGACAGTTACGTCTCATAACTAATGATTCGAAAAAAATATCGAACAAAGTAGCGCTTAAAATAATCTCTGGCTTCAAGAACCGCGATGCTGTCCACATGTCATTTCGCGAACGGAGGCGAGAGATCTCCGAAAGTTGCACTGGTCCCCGAACGTGACTTGGCGACAATCTCAATTCTTGGTCTCACAATGTTTCCAAGCTGACGATCGATTCAATTACCGTCGTATCCCGTGTAATCTCGCTCGAGCAGACATGTCATCAGAGCATGTCCTGTCGGGTGCCGGTTCTACTGGGCTTAACACTTACCGATGCCACTTTGCCGTCAGCAACCGTATAATTCGAGCAGCCCGCGTGACACGCGGAGAAATACGTTCTACCGTCGGCGCCGCAGATTGGACTGAATTTGTTCCGATCGCAGTCGCAGGTAGCGTCGCAGGTCGGCTCGAAGCTGGAGAGTCTACGGAAACGGATTGTTCGCAGGTCAGGCCCACTTTGAACCGAGCCATGTCTTATTTTCATTTAACTTAATATTGATTAGTCAACGTAATTTGTTTTAGGCCCGGTTTCAGCAACGTCGCTTAACTTTAAGCTTAGCTTAATTTGTTCTTTGTCTCTTTCCAACTGTTGCTTTAGAAAGAGACAAACATGGATTGAACTAACATTAAAGTTAAGCGACGTTTGGTGAAACCGGGCCTTTATATGAAATCGAATATTTTGTATGATATCGAATATTTATATGAAATCGAATAAGTTCGATTAGAAATGCGTTTAATTAGTAAGGAGAGCTAATCTTCGTTAGGTTGATTAAATAAAGAAAACTAGCTCAATAAGTGAATGTCACACCCACACAGCAAGATAACAAAAAGACCTCTTAATGTTCTCTCATTTTAAGATTTGGACACCCAACAATACCTTCAGAAAGACAATATAGTGAAGTCAGAAAGAGCTCTTATGCGCTTGCAGAGAAATGAAAGACTTCATTCAAAGATCATTGAAAAGATAACTTTCTTGACATCTCCTGTAATACATATCAATATTGCATCTCAAACTAGATATCTTTAAGAGTTCATGTTTATGATGTCAATAAGACATATATTTTAAGATATTTAAAACGCAAAGCCTTTGGTGAGAAATTTTTAACAAGCGGTTTAAAAGGAATTTTTGACAGTGTAAAGAATAGAAGTGGTATGAAGGAAAATCATACGAGTGTAGATAAGAGATCGTATGGTACAAGAACTCACTTCAACGTCAGAGAAAAGATAAAAACTTTCATGCAGGTGTATCAATTTATAATATCACGATTTTTTTTCTTACGAGAAAGTGCTACGCCGCGCGTCCCTCTAGCGGGAACTTTGACAGGCTTCCCGTATTAACATTAAGGAGGGTGGTTGCTGAAATAAAAATGATAAAAATGAATTCAAATTTATAGAAAATATTCGTTTATAGGAATCTGTCCTCCGTGCGAAAGTTCAAGATGATTGTCTGCATGGTTGTCAAATAATTAATTATTCAAGTTATATTATTGCACATGGCCAACATAGCAAAAGTATTACAATATCTGTAATTTTTTTCTCGAAGGCATGTTAAACATGATAAGAATTTTATAAAAATAAGTGCAAATAATTCTATACATATTTACGAAGAATTTTGACGAATACTAAAATGACTTGTCTACGTAGTTATCAAGAACATATACATATGTATACGTGTAGAAATACATGTATATGGTATATATACTGTACATATGTATATGTGTGTTCTTGATAACTACGAAGACAAGTCATTTCAGTCTTCGTCAAAATTCTTCGTAAATATATATAGAATTATTTGCACTTATTTTTACAAAATTCTTATCATTTTTAGCATATGTGTATATT